GGAAGCGCGCGGGGCGGTACAGCCTCTGCGGGTTGGAGGCCTCCTGGGGGTGCGGCGGGAGCGCAGGCGGGGTCGGCACAGGCCCGGCCCGAAGCGGGCGGTCACAGTGGAGGCCAGAGGCGGCAGCATCGCGGACGCGGCTCCGCCGGGAGCACAGCGCGAGCCACGGGGCGGGGAGCGAGCAGGACGGGGGCGTGCAGGTGGGCGCGTGGCCAGGGTGTCGGAGCTGGAGCTCGGCGTGCCAGGCAGCGTGGGACAGAGTCGTTACCTGCTTGGGGCCCGTGAACACGCAGCCAAAAGGCCTTCTCAGCCACGCCTATGAAATTGGAGGCTCGACAGAGGTACTCGCCCCCATCACGCTCGGACACATTGGCCAGGCGGAGGCGTGCGTCGGCCTCCACACTCTCACTGATCCAGGACTGCGGGGACAAGAGACCCGGCTTAGGCGCGCCCTCAGCAGCCCGGCTGGGCACAGAGCGGCCGTGCGGGCGCAGGGCCGGGCAGACCCCGCCACGGGGGTGGGCCTCAAGGAACGGAGGGCGGGGGCCAGGCCAGGCCATGCCGGGCAGGGAGTCTGCCTGGAGGCGGCCACGGAAGCACCTGCCCGTGGTGGGCCGTGGTTTCACAGGATGCGCCTTCTGCACGCCCACCCGCTTCAGTGCAGAGTGTGGCCCTGGCAGGCACCCCTGAGACGCCCTCCGCTGCCTAGCCCTGGGGTCCCAGCGGGGCCCGGCTCTCGGTAAGTGTGTGGAGGTCTCACCGGGGCCACGGTGGCCTCTCTGGTCGGGTCTGCACTCCCGCCCTCAGCCCAAGCGCCCGCTCCCTACCCCCGTGAGCAACAGATGTTTCTCTTTGGGCTGAGTGTCACAACCATCCCAACTAGGGTGGCCCCCGCCCCTGGGGCCGTGGGAACAAAGCGAGGGCCGAGGGAGGCAGGCAGACCGCGAGCCATGCTCTGCGCACGCAGACGGTGTCGAATCAGGGCGGCCGGAGGCATGGCTGCCTGCACCTCGGGCCCACAGCCTGCCACGCCGGGAGGGCTCAGCTGCCACCTGCCTGCCCTGGGGCCTTGAGCTTGACCCCGGCCCAGGGCGCTGTCTGCAGGCCTGCCTCCAGGGCTCAGGCCGACCCTTAGAGCAGACGGGAAACCAAGGACTCACCACAGGACCACGTGCTGCCTGCCTCACATGCCGGGACTGGGCCCAGACTCCCGAGCCGACCCCCCAGCCCGCCAGTGCGGAGCTGAGCCCCCCACCACTTCTCCCCCGCCAACCCTTTGACCCAGCGAGCCTCCCTGCTGGGATGCCTTCCCGGTCCCCGGCCACGGGGGGGCCAGCAGGGCCAGGCCCGGCAGCTCCCAAGCAGCAGCCCGCCGCCGGCGCCCGGCCAGGGGTGGCACCCACCTTGAGGACGGTGACGTAGGGGGTGCCGTCAGGCCCCACTTTGCTGCCGTTCACCTCCACGTGCTTGAGCCACTGGATGTGGGGCTGCGCATCGCTGTACACCTTGCAGTGGAACTCCACGTCGCTGCCCAACACGGCCGTCTGGTTGGCAGGCAGCCCCGCCTGCAGGATGGGCCGGTGCGGAGAGCGCTCTGCGGGGCAGACGGGGTTAGGGGCCGCCCGGCCCGCGCCGCCAGCCCACACCCGCCAGCCCCGGGGCCTCACCCAGCACGTCCAGGGTGTAGGTCTGCCGGATGCTGCCGAACTTGTTCTGCACGACGCACGTGTAGTTCCCGCGGTCCGAGGGCACCACGCTCTCCATGACCAAGCTCCACTGCTGGTGCCTCAGCTGTGGGCAGGCGCGCGTGAGGGGACAGCGGCCCAGGACCCCGCCGGCCAGCACCGCCCGCCACCAGGCCCACCTTGATGCCCCCGATGCGGTGCTCGCCTCGGAACTCCTTGCCGTTCTTCAGCCAGGAGATGGACGGCGTGGGGTTGCCGGCGGCCGGGCACCGGAAGCGCACGGTGTTGGCGGCCGGCACCGCCAGCAGCTTCTTGTCCATGCGCTCAGGCCGCGTCCAGTAAGGGGCCCCTGCTGGCAGAGGGGGGGCGTGCCAGCCGTCACCAGGGTGGGGACAGAGGTCCACCTGAGCCCGCTCCAGAAGCCGCCAGGCTGCTCACGCCTCCAGCCTCCGTGGACAGAGTGTTGGACTTTTTTTTTTTATTTAAGATTTTATTTATTTGACAGAGACACAGCGAGAGAGGAAACACAAGCAGGGGGAGTGGGAGAGGGAGAAGCAGGCTTCCCGCCGAGCAGGGAGCCCGATGCGGGGCTCGATCCCAGGACCCCGGGATCATGACCTGAGCCGAAGGCAGACGCTCAACGACTGAGCCACCCAGGCGCCCCCGGAGTGTTGGGACTTTTGAGGACCTCTGCCTTGGCTGGACAAGGCCGCCAACAGCCCCAGTGTCGCCTCCCAGCATTCTCAAAGCTAAGCACGCACCCCTCCCCTCCCTGTCCGCCTCCCGCAAGCACCCGCAGCAGCCAAGGAGGCCCGAGGGTCCGGAACAATACACCCTGACCTGGGAGCCTTCGAGACATAAGGGTATCTCCCGGGGAACACCCACCAACCCAGGGAGGCACACTTGGGGCCGGCCACTGAAGTGGAGACCCAGCCAGCAGCGGAACCAGGCCAGCCCAGGTCACAGAGCCCAGCTGGGTGGACAAGCAAGGCCAGGACCTAGAAGCCGCAGAGCGGGACATAAGGCCCAGCCCCCTGCAGAGCCCAGAGTCTCAAAGGTGGCCAGGTGCCTGCTAGAACCCTTGAGACCCAGAGTCACCCTCTAGAGCACTCTAGGGCCTGCCGGGCAGGGGGAGGGGACATGGCATCTGGGGGGCACTGCCCCCTCCTGGTTTTCAGGGTTGTCCCCATCCTCCACCCTAATTGGTTTCCATCCTTCCTTGTTACTGGGGTGGGGGCTGCATTCCTGCCCTGGGAGGCTGGACAGGCATCCCCTAGGACAGGGGAGAGACGCCCCTCTCACCCCCACCCCTGCCCTGCTGCCTTCAACACAGCCATCTGGCGGAGGAGGGCGCTGAGGCCCAGGCAGGGAGCCCTCCAGGGGCAGAGACCCCGGGGGGACCGGCAGACTGAGACCATGGTGGCTCAGCCCTGCTGGACGGTGTCCGTGGAGGACAGCCTGCCAGTGACCCTTGGAGCCCCTGAGCCCACCGGGTTGTGCTGGGGGGTGGTGGTGGAGGGGGCCAGCACCGCCTGACATGGCCAGGGTGGCCGGGGCTCCAGGAGCAACTGGGCCTGGAGCTTGGCTTTGAACTCCTGGCAGCCAAAGGAAAAAGGGAAAATAGAGGAGACCTAGTGGCTCCTCAGGAAGGGCCCTTCCACGCCTCTGTCAGCATGCACACCCAAGGTAGAGCCGACCTACGCACCCCGGCGCCTGGCTCCTCTCCAGGGACCACTCCTCTCCCACATCCCCACCCAGCTCCACCTCCCTAGAGGGCTCCCCCTCACCTCTTTGCCCACTGGACCCCTCGGGGCCCTCCACCTCCCCTAACCAGCCCTTCCGTGATTGGCAAAGTCTACCTGCCACTGCGCCAGGCTTACACACCTGCGTGCTGTCACCCCACCTGCTCCCCACACCTGCGGCCTGCTCCCCACAAATGCCACAGCCTCCCCTTTGCAATGAACACGTGCCCAAAGCTGGTGTCCCTGGAGCCCACAGCCACCCTCCACTCCCACCTCTCATGCCCCGACTCCTCAGTCCAATGACCCACAGCAGCCCAGCTGGGCCACCTTACTGCCCCCGCCGCGGCCTCCCTGTCTCACCTGCCACGCAGTGCCCCCACCCCCTCAGCTTGCCACCCAGAGCTCAGGGCCGCCACGGTGAGGGGACCCCACGCTCGGTGTGACCCCAGGGGGGCAGCCCCCAGGTCTCGGTCTCCTACCTGCCTGAGGAGCAGGAGGCCCTGTACCTGCAGAGTGTAGGGCTTGGCAGCTAGGAAGCAAGCCCACCCCTGGGAAGGCAGGTCCCCAACCCTGGCCAGCCCGGCGTGCCTGGAACCCGGGCTCACCTGTATCCTCAGCCTCATCCTCCCCGTCTTCATCATCTCCGGAGGACGGAGCATCTGAAATTCAGGCAACAGGGAGTGTGCAGGGGTCGGCCCCCCGACAGGCAAATGCCCAGGGCCTACACCCCAGTACCTCCACCTCCTCCCGGGTCTGTGGGGGCCACCCACAGGCAGGGCTGGAGCCCCTTCACGCAGCACCTCCTACGGGGTGCCCCCACCCAACGACCACCAAGACCCTCAACGTGGGGTGGAGCGTGGCCGCAGGCCACACGGCGGCAGGCCACACGGTGAGCTCGGTGGGGCCCCGGGGCACTCACCGGTCACGCGCACGCTGAAGTAACACAGCACGCGCTGAGTGAGCCGCTGCCGGCAGCTATAGGCCCCTGCGTCCTCGTGGGAGGCGTTGAGCACCTGCAGCCGCTGAGGCCCCACCAAGATGCGGTCGGAGGGCACTAGCCCCACACCGTCCTTGACCCAGACACTGGGCCCCGTGGGACCACCGGCAGGCGCATGGCAGCTCAGCTCCACGGTGTCCCCGCTGCCAAAGACCAGCTGTTCCTGCTGGCCAGGCTCAGGTCCCAGGGCCTCTGTGGAGGAGATGATGACCCTAAGGCAGGTGCCCCCGAAACAGGAATCCCGGGCGCCCGGCACCCCCGGGAGGCCCCACGGCTGGCCCGCTGCCCAGACATGTAGCGAAGGCTGTGGCGGGGGCATCTGGGGCCCAGAGGGCTAGGCAAGGGCCACCGCATCCAGAGCCTGCTGTCCTGCAAAGTGTCCCAGGCCTGCCAACTGGTGTGAGCCCTGAGGACAACCACACCGTCGCGGCACCGAGGTGGATGACGCGCGAGGAAGCGGGGTCGGCTGCGCGCTCGCCAGACCATACTCATGGACATTGAGAATTCAAGTTGCAGGGTGTCACGGGGTATCATTCTTCCTCTGGTTTTTCCCAACCACTTAGAAATGCAAAATCCATGCTGAGCTTACAGGCTGTACAAAACCAGCCGGCAGGCAGAGGTCCTCCACAGACCTCTGGCTTCTAGCCTAAAACGGAGGCTCGAGGCAGGAAGGACGTGGTGGGGGGCAGGGGTCCCACTTACTGCCCCCCATTTCTCATCCTGGCAGCAAAAGCACTTCCGGACCAGAGAACAGACGCTCCCCAGCTCGAGGAGGAAGCCACCACGGCTGGGCAGCACTTGCTGTGGGCCGGTGACCTCGGGGGCCAGCCCGGGTCTCGGGGACATGGAATGCCTGTACCCCAACTTAGAAGGGAGTGTCGTGTGTGTGAGCTACGCCTCAGCACTACACTAAACACACAGCAGAACACTCCTAAGTACAGACGGGATACTGCGGGCAGCAGTCTCACAGGCCGGCCAGTGGGTTAAGGGGACCTGGGACCCTCCCCCCACCATTTCACGGATAAGAACACAAGCTGGGAGGGGTGGGAGGTTGTGAGCAGGTCAGAGGAGGAATCCTTGAGCTAGGCTAAGGTGACCTGGCCCACCTTACGTGCAAATGCTAAGTTGGGGTAGAAGACGCTCGCCAAGGGCGGATGTCCACCCGTAAGCCCCCAGGGCCCTCCTCCCTGCCCAGCGGCTGCCTAGCTCGCTGAGATCCAGGGACATACCCCTGGCGGGGCTGGCTATCACCCCCAAGCCTCCCTGCCAGGGCCAGACAATGGCCAGCGCAGGAGGGCAGCCTGGGCTTGGGGCCCGGGACAGAGGTGGGTGGTCCCGCTGCCCAGGCCTCCTTCCCCAGACCCGGCTGGGTCAGTTACACCATCACTTGTCATTCTGCCGACGTGTGGCCTAGATTCGAGGGCCCAGCTGCCCACTCTAGCCACACCAGCCCCTGGCTCCCTGGACAGTCCCAATTCTGCCCACCCACTTCCGGCGGGCCCACCAGCCCCGTGCCTACCAGGAGGGTCTCTGGAGTATCCTCCGAGTCTGCATCCCTGGGGGCCCCACAGTCAGGGGCCTCCTGCTCTGACCTCCAGCCCCCCAGTCCTGGCTACTGTATCCTGTGGGGACCACCCAGTGCTGGGCACTGACTGGGGCCCCCCAGAAGGCTGAGGACAGGCTGGTCATGGCAGCCTCAGCCCCAGGCCCTGGCCCAAGGGCAACAGTGGTTGGTTCTGGTTTGGTCTGGGCAGCCTCAGCAGGTCAACCATCCACACAGTATTCACTTCAACCTCGTCCAGCACGGGACTGAGGAGCACAGAGCAGCCCCCAGGCCAGCCATCTGCTGCTGGACGGACGCTGCACTCAGCTGAGGCCCAGCCCTTGACCTGCCCAGGTGCCGAAGCCAGGGACCCCCGGGCCAGGGCAGCAGAGTCTCTGCCTCCAGTAGAGCTGACCCACCAGGCCCACCCTGAGCCACGGAGGACCCTGGGGGTGACCCAGCAGTGGCCGAGGGGATGGGGTCAGGCAGGGGGACAGAGGAGGATGGGCAGGGCCCAAAGTGATGGGCATGGGTGGGCGCTAACCCAGCCACTGTCTGGCCCTACCCGGGGAGTGGCAGGGGCACATGCCGTTCAGCCCCCGCCCCCAGCAGCCCTAGGAGGGAGTCTTTCCTGATCAACAAAAGAGGGCCCTACCCATGCCCACGCAAGCGCTGGGGCCCACGCATGCTGGAGGCCAAGTCCTGTGTGCCACGGCAGGTGCCCACGTGCCTGAGGGGAGTGGGCATAGGTGGAATGCCTGCCCCCACCTGCATCCCCACCCCAATAGGGGGCGGAGCTCATTTGGGGGCCGTAGGCCAAGGGCAGCCCATGGGACCACCCAAGGGGTACTGTGTCCTGGAAAGGCCCGCTGTCTCCCAGTCACAGGGTCCCCCTGACTCTGCTACTCACTGGCCTCGTGCCTCAATTTCCCCCACTGGGACACAGGGCAGAAATCCCACTGGAGGGGCGCCTGGGTGGCTCAGTCGTGAAGCGCCTGCCTTCGGCTCAGGTCATGATCCCAGGGTCCTGGGATCGAGCCCCACATCGGGCTCCCTGCTCTGCGGGGAGCCTGCTTCTCCCTCTCCCACTCCCC